GGAAGCAGCAAGTTCAGGGATAATGTGAATGCATGACTGGATTTGCTGCTAAGTATGTAATTCATTTATTTAGACTGTCGATGAGGCAATGAGCAAATGGTCGCGAAAGTATGTATTTGCTTTATGGAGTGTATGAGATCATGTGAACTATAGGGCAAATTAATGTTTGTGTAAATGATGTTATAGAAGACTTAATTAATTAAGTATTGATTGAGCGCACGATTACTTAGTTAGCTAATGAGCTAATGTGATTATTTATCTCTATTCTCTTGTGGGGAGACATCTTTGGACGTGCCAGCCCATTACCATCACATAATCCTCCCCCCCTATTATATGATTTTTATGCTATGCATCCTTTTAGGAAGACGAGCTGCTTCGTCAACAGACTAGATTGAATGAGCAGATCTGCGAAGCTCAGAGCCTTCGGAGGGGTCTTGAGGGAACTCGTCTTCGCCTTCTTGAGTCCCTGCCAAGTCGGATGCATCTAACGCCACAGCCAAGCTATTCAGCTGGTTCCACGACTCCAGCTACAACCACGTCTGACCAAAGTCAGGGCGCAGGGCTGAACAACCCACCTGAAATCCCCACGGCCTCAGCCTCTACATCCTCTTCTTCGTCGTCGTCTTCTGGCTTTTCATCTGCTGCCACAGTCGACTGTTCTTGTCTAGGCAGACCCTCCTGCAGGCACCAGGTTGCGCCGAAACAGCAGGACAGTCTTGGATTGCGAGATCATGTAGCCGAATATATAAAGCGGATGTTGAGATATCTAGTCAGAGCAGAAGTAAGCTGTGTCTCTAAGTCGAATAAAATATATTAATTGTTGAGCTAACTTCTATTTCGAGGGAAAGTATTTGGTGAAGAGATTCGGAAGTCGATCCTACCAGAGGACGACGACGGAATGGCTTTATCCTAAAATTGTTGTTGACGTGTTGCCCAGGCAACTTCCTTCGATTCCAGTGAAAATTTGCTAAGCTTTTGTCCTTTTTATGATAAACATCATCAGAGCAGTGTATTATCCTTACAACTATGTTCGAGCTAACGAATTTTCTTGACTTGTCTTAAAACTTTTCAGACAGCCCAACAAACCTCTTATGAATGAAATTCGCATAGAGCTGACAACAATAAAAGTAACTATGTTAGCAGGCAACACTTGAATCTGATTATATAATCGAACCAAGGACGCTGCCGACGTGATCATATTGTGCAGATATATCAAACGTTTTCTATTGTAGATGCAATAGGATGGTGGGTCCTTATCATAATATTTTACTTTATTGAGTTTCTAGCACAGATCAATGCGTCAGTCTGGATGAAGAGGGGTCCTAAGTTATCATTACTCATAAAGACTTATCTATTCATTTCAGCGAGAAATTCAGATGATAAGAACCTAGCGTACTTTCCAAATCAGCTAATGTGAGGCATGTTCCTTCTCTGTTTTAAAAGGCATTGAAAACAACATCATTTAGTACTACGACTTCACATTTTCGAAAGTTTCGATAGCTCATCTACTTATTTTCCACCCTTATGCCTGTCCAAAAAGATGCTATGTCGCATTATGTAGGAATTGGTTTAGTTTGGATAGATTATTATAGGTAACATGAGGCATATCCATTGTGTCTTCCGAATCCATTGATTATTCGGAGGGAACTATGTTACTGGTTTCAGCATTGTGAACAAAAAATTTTTTTTCTTTATCAAGCTGAGTTTAAAGGACAGTTTATCCGTGGCTCATAGATTTCATAGTGCCGTTCATAAGTTATCTAGACAGCTTCGCACTCAGATACACAGCATCCAAGGCAAATTAGATTTAGCCATCGTCTTTCACATCACGGATATCATTGGAGCAATGAGTCATGCTCAAACAGCCCTTGCACAGATAGTCAGAGGAGTCGCTTTCACGAACTGTGCAGGTACCTGAACATAGTGGGGATTTCTTCTAAACTTAATCCATAAAATGTCTCTATCTGTGTAGTTTTGTATCCTGGTATTGATATATTTAGGTCCTGAGCATACGAATCGTTTAGGAAATGTGTCTTGCTCAAAGAGATGAAGATGAAGTTACGTAGCATAACTAGTAAGGAAGACGATAAAAAGTGCTAAGTTCAAGGGCTTAGTAAGTGGTCGTGAAGCCAACACGAAGGCGCATAGCTATAAATGGATCATTCATATGTCCTACTCCTAGGTTCGAAGTCGTGACGCTTTGTCGAATCTGTTAGGGAATAGTCGAGATCTAGTCAAATCACTTGTGATTCTGGCTTCTATCGATGTAATCGTATAGAAAAGATTTGACCTAATTATCGAAAACTGTGGATGAAATCCGTCTGGTATAATTCGCCATGCACAAATTGATGTATATAAAGTGTCCACGTTTGGAACCGAATGGGCAATGTAATTGAGAATAAGAGGTAGCGGAAAAATTTGGTTAATAAATCGTCCTGGCAGACGAAAGCCAAGCAATTATTTTAAAGGAGACTGGTGTTTTTTCTTGACTATACGTCCTATGAGTGCACTCTAGTTTTGGTGCAAAGCAAAAGCAAAGGCAATCTTACAAACTACTTTGGTGAGGAATATTCACCCATCTTTCAAATCGACTTATTGTGCGACACCATCATGCACCCCTAGGGATTATCGAATGCGATTGCGATTTTCCTATCAGAAATCGTTATGAGGGCCAATCGAGTAAATTTCTGAACTAACAGCCAATCTTGAATAAAAACCCGATTCACCATGGGTTGTTCAGGTTTATGCGAGGACTAATAGTTGAACTTCCAATAATGGAATGAATATGAGACTTCACGATTACTCTGGATTAAGCTTAATTTTAAGAGGCTTTCTAATCTAGTCTTTAGCATAAATTTATACTCGCTTGGATTTTATAAGCGACTCCAAATGGATTTGCAACCAGATCGTTCGCATCAGACGGCGACGTTACCACAGTGCCACAGCCACGGATGCCAGTGGATCGCAGGGCAATCACTGAGTCGGTTACTTTCGACTATATTATAGGCTATACAGCGTTGTTTAGCAAACTTGCAATAGCTATTTGTTTAGTCCATATTATTATTTCTAGTTACGGTATCCGCGAAAATTTTTATATTTTTATATACCCAAAAGATATAATTTTGCTCTAGTGACTACCCTTGTATAATGCATGATTCATATAACTGATTTACTGGTAATCTCGAAACTACTTGTATACGTAAATATATTAAAGCAAGATAAGTAGGCATTGTGAGGGCCAACACCAAAGGATTTATCCAGCAGCATTTTGAGTCTCCATTCAAAGAATTGCTTAATTCGATTATTATAAAATATTTTAGGCTTCCTGAATGTAGACGCTGCTGGTGGCAGGGTCCGCAGCTCAGTTATATCTCGAAAGCCTCCTCGTTCTTTGAACCCAGGGGCAAATAAATGAGGACACCACCAAATAGGCTCTTAAGGTTAGGTAACTAAAAGTATGTTAGTGATGCCTGCACATAAAACGGATCCTGTTTCACAGAATTAATTTCATTATACCTCTTGTGCTAAAAATCCATATGACTGCCACCCAAAAATAATTCAATTGTCTATTTTTCTCTTTCTTGTATTCTTCAATAACATTCAAAATCTCGTTTTCTCCCAAACAGATTCTAGA